CGGTAGCCTGGGATTTATGGTCATGACCGTGTGTGTGTGTGTGTGTGTGTGTGTGTGTGTGTGTTTATATAAAGTTTGTGGGGAAATGGAATTGTCCCACCAATTCTTTAAAGCCTCCCCATATATCTTAACATGACTTTTGAATCAAATCATACACTTCATCACATCTTGAGCCTGACTTTGTTCAGTGAGAATACTTTGAATTCTTTCTGCAAGCTGCAGTAGCTTCCAACTGTCAAGTCTCACCCAGCTTCAACCTTCCAGGTGGGGATTTGCTCCCAGTTTTATGCCTTTTCATACCTTCCTGATGAAGCGCAAGCTTGTATTGGGTCCCCATGAGTTAGGAGCGACTCGCCAGCAGTAAGTTTCCTTGGTAGGCCGGTGGGCGTGGCATGACCTTTTGGAAACTGGTGATTTTCCTTTCTTTCTCACATGTGCCGTTTGCTGGAAATCCATTCCTTTGCCTCCCATCACGTTAGTGCAGACTGCTCTAGCCACTTGGCTCCTCTGTGCTCCGGGGCTCGGGCTGTGCGTGGCCCGTGCGTGACACACTTCCCTCCTCGCTGCAGGGGAAGTGTTTGTGCTGGACGATGGTGGGGAAGTAGACCTGGACCTGGGTAACTATGAGCGGTTCCTAGACATCCGCCTGACCAAGGACAACAACCTGACCACCGGAAAGATCTACCAGCATGTCATTAACAAGGAGCGCAAAGGAGATTACTTGGGGAAGACAGTCCAAGGTACTCTGGAATTCACCTTTAAACTGCTGGGTTTCTTTTTTTGCGGCATTTCCGGCTCTTGGATGGTCGGGCAGAGTCCCGGAGCTGCTGTGTGTACATGGGGGCGGCTTTACCCAGGAGCATGTGCTGTAGAGCCAGGCTGCGCTATGCGCAGGTGGCATAAGGAGACGTATCTTGTGTGCCCTGGTTCAGGCTATTTCTCCTCAGTGCTGGGTGCTCAGGGTGCTGTCTCAGAAGGGTCTCAGCGGCCTTGAGCAGAGGGTAGGCAATGCCACTGTGCCCAGTGTTGGGGGGTGGGCATGGGGAGAGCTTGGTGAGGCGAGGAATTTAGGTTTTATGCCAAGGGTGAAGAGTCATCACTTTAAGAATGTACACTTGGGCAGCATTATGCATTGTGTTTTGCATTTTTTAAAGATGGTCTTGGCCGATGTGTGGACGAGATCCTGCACACCTTTCTTGGTGAGGCTTGCTCCTTATACCATAGCAAGCTAAAGGCAGTCTCTGCCCCTTAACGAGCAGCCTGAGCCCACGGCTAGGATTCTCACACATTCTTAACAACAGCCCACACTTGTTAAGAACTAATATGCTAGATGCTTTGCTTAGGCTTTTACGAGCTCCAGCTCATAAAATACCCACAGCTTTTTATTAAAGCGGAGCTATTATTTCCACTTAACAGGGGAGACACCAAGCTTAGGGATGGTTAGGAAATTTACCCAAAGATCAACACTAATAATTGGTGGGACCTGGAATCCAGACAATGCCAGGCATGGCGCCCCCAGGCACTTGGCCATCCTGTGCTACCTCTGCAAGCAAGCATTGCCCCTGTGGTAGCTGGGAACATGATGGAGCCAGGGTCCGGTGGCTTCTGGTGCCTGGGAAAGTGCCCAGGTATGATGCTGCCAGCCCCATCTGTGGCCCGGTGGCCCAGCCTCTTGCTGAGGTGCAGCCAGAGGGCAGACGCCAGAAATGCAGAGGCTTAGGTGCCCTGATGCGGCTCAGGAGCAAGACCTGGCTCCCCTGCAGAGCTCCCAGCAACCTCTTGGCAAACTGGAAAGGAAGCAGTGGGGCAGGCTGCCCAGATTTGTTGGGGCCTTCTGAAAATGTGATTCCTGCTGCTATGTCCAGGCAGAGAGCGCTGTGGCGACCGCAGGGGTGTCTGCGTCTGCCTGGGGTTGATGGGTGCTCTGCACCACGTCAGTGTGGATGGAAACGCAGAGGCGACACGTTTCTCTGCTCTTCCCCAGTGGTCCCTCACATCACGGATGCAATCCAGGAGTGGGTGATGAGACAGGCGCTGATCCCTGTAGATGACGATGGCCTGGAACCTCAAGTCTGTGTTATCGAGGTTAGTCTGCATCTGCGTCTGCCCCAACCTCTTGATGCCTGCCTACGGGCTTACAGGACCTAGTGAGCACACTCGGCTCCTTAAGTCGGCCGTCCGTAACCGAAGAGACACTTGCCCCCGGGGCCTGCTGCCGCTGCCCGTGGGCTCTGGTGCAGTCTGGCAAGACCAGCTCATAGCTCTTAGTCATGGGATGGCCACGCTGGAGGGAGCAAAGCTTTGTTCCAGCGATTCTCCTTCCTCAGCTTTAATAGATCCACCAGGCCCTGGCTGCCCCGAGAAAGGTGGCGTGGGACAGACGTTTTATCGCCCTCTTGAGAAAGCCTGCAGACCTTTGGCTTGTCTCTGGCAGGAACAGTTTTGCCGAGTGAGCGTCCTCTGGTTTCAGTTCTGCGTTCCTGGACCGCTGATTCGGCTTTGCCGGATCTCCTTGTTCTTTCAAAGATAGGCGACTCAGCAGTGGGTTGGTGATGGTGCTTTTGATACAACAGTTGATTGGCTTTCCCCTTGCAGGCAAGCTTTGGGCTTCTCGGGTTTGTGAGTCCCCTCAAGTAAACTTCCTAGTACCTCTCCCACCTGACCCTTTCCTAGAAATGCTAGGAAACAGTCCCCGGGGCATCGGTGAGCCCGTCAAAAAAGGCACTCTTTCAGCCCAAGGGATTGATTGTTCCCGTTGTACAGGCTCCGGAGTCTGTTCTGCTGTTCTGTTGACACTACAGGAGGTGGCAGCCGTTGTCAGGGCAGCCGGCAGAGGAAGGGCAAGCGCTAACCGACAGTGTCTTTGTTCGTCTAGCTCGGGGGGACGGTGGGCGATATAGAGAGCATGCCCTTCATCGAGGCCTTCCGGCAATTCCAGTTCAAAGTCAAAAGAGAGAACTTCTGCAATATCCATGTCAGTCTCGTCCCCCAGGTAAGGAACTCGGATGGACGGGGTGGGAGGGGCGGTGCCGAGGAAGGCAACCACCTCCTCTTTTTAAATACTTGAGGTAAGTACACAGGAAGCAGAAAAAAGGGAACTTGTGTGTGTGTGTGTGTGTGTGTGTGTGTGTGTGTATTATGAATTAAGATCCTATTTTCCAAAAGAAAGAAGTAAAGGGAAAACATGGGAAAGGGGCACAATTAAGACAGTGGCTGTTTTGTGTCTTTACTAGCTGGTAAAATTGATCGTATCTTTAAGATAGAAATTCACAAAGTTGAGTAGACTGTGAGGGAGTCAATACTCACAAAAGTTATGGGGGTTCAAATGCAGGAAGACAGGTAGGAGCTGACCTGAGAGCCCCAGGGAACGGATCTGGCAAGTGGAGGTGCACCCTGTAGCCCTGTGGCACCCCCAGGTGGGCAAGGCGGGTCCTCCCTGCGCCATCTCTGACCCAGACAGAGCTCATAGCCACCTCTCCAGGGTGCACAGCCTGGCACTGGGGCCAACTAAGGGCAGTGGTACTGGGCTTACAACATGGGAATTATATGTGCTTTAATGCAGTTGAGACACCCTTTTTCCTAGTGCTCGGTTTCTAGAAGAGACAAATTCTTTTCTGGGGAGTCTGACAAGCTCTCAGGGGTGTGCCTGGTGAGGACCCCAGTCGACATGCCACCTTGTTCACGCACAGCTTCCCTGTGACATTTGGAGAAAACTGAGGAAACTGAGCCTCTGCAAGGAACAGGACCTTAGAGGGGAAAGCATCTAGCATTACTATCCTCGAGAACCAAGAGGGGAGCGAATGTAGCTATTAAATAAGACCAAAGTGTATTCAGAACAAAAAAAAATTTGCTAGCTCTGGGACATTTAAATATTGGATAGCAGAAGTAAAAAACTTAAAGCTTAGGAAATGCCTGAGAAAAAGGAGAGAAAGGTAAGAAAACTAGAGAACGAGTCCAGGAGTTCTCATATTCTGATAATAGGAGTTCCAGAAAATAAGACAGAAACAGAATGGTTCTCTGACCCAAGAGTCAGCCTGCCGCCTGTGTTTGGAACTAACGTATTAAAATTCACCCACGCCTGTTGTTTCCTTGTGGTCGCTGGTCCCTTTGTGCTGCAGCAGCAGAGAGGAATGGCTGCGACAAGGCTGCATGACTCTCAAAGCCTAGAATACTTGCTATCAGCCCATTGTGGAGCACAGTTTCTGACCCTTGACCAAACTCCTTTGAGCTCATTTCCATAAGGAGGTTCCAGATCAAAAGGGCTCCCTGAAAGCCTAGCATGTTGGCTGCAACATGGCATGCGTGCAAATGGCCCATCGTCGTGGATATTGGAGGATAATGTGACAGAAATCCCAAACGCCTCAAGAGAAAAAGTTATAATTTTCTAAAAAAAAAAATCAAGACGCACAGTGGTATTGAACCTTACAATATTGGAAACTAAAGGAATAGAGCAGCCATTTCTTTTAAAGGTGTAAGAGAAAAGGATTTTCAACCTAGAATTTTATACCCAGCCAGTCTTATCCATGTGTGGGAGGAGACTGAAGAGAACTAGGATGTGAGGGGCTCAAAACGTTGATGGGAAAATCCCATTTTCTTTTGATTTCATTTTGTCATGAACTTTTAAAAACAAATTGGCACAAAGCATATTCAAAGAAAACAAAGACTTAGATCAGAAAGAAAAACGTGGAACAAAGTTGAACTGGATAGCAGGTAACCCTGCAGAGGTGTCTAAGCAAAACCCTGAGCTAGAGTTGCAGATGCAGGACCGACTGGTGTGTGCGCAGAGGGGACGGGAGTGAGGTAGAGGATGGACGGGACCCTCCATGAACAGGGAGATCACTGGGAAATGTGGCAGGGAAGGTGTGAAGAGACAGAAACAGCATCTGAGAAGGATCCGTTGGAAAGAGTTGCCGAGTGGTTGCCCTGGGGGTTTAGGAAATGGGAAGGGATGGGTGAAGATTGAGACCTTGCAAAACTGTGTGCCTCAAAACTATGTGCACGTGGAGGGAACTTTGACCAAAATGAAGGTTAAATCGTCATCACATGATCGCTTTCCCTATTGAAAGTCAAAGCCAGACTTGAAAATTATTTGTTGTAGAGAAATTAACTTTTATTTC